TTGCACTGTCAACCCCTGCCAATCCCAGCAACACAAGCATAAAATTTGCTGCACCATCTAAATAAACTGAAGTTGGTTCTGTCAGGCAAAGGGAACATAATGGACAAGCAAACAGCTGTCTTCCTCCTCGTGTCACGAGAAATAATCAGCTGCACGGTTGCTTTTTGACGCCGCCCAAGCCCATGGATTGGCGCCCTTGCGGGGGCTTGTCAAAGATCTCACGCAAACTTTGCCCAGCGCGCTTTGTGCCACTGGGTTGCTTTGTGTACTCACTCTGCAAAACTGAATCACGATCCAATCGCCGAGCTGATTGCAGAAAAACACACAAGTCTGTGCAGCCATGAAGGAACACGCTGCCCGGAGAAGGCGTGTCTCCATTGTGACATGTCCATTTGCTTCCAGGCCACCTCGCAAGCTTCTCAAAGGCTTGCTTCAGCGAAGGGAGCTCACGGGCAAACCGCGCTGACATCACAAAGCTCTTTGTCTCTGTGAGCACACTTTTGTGGTGCAGCACATCAGGGCCAGGCCGCCGCAGGTCCAGCGAAAATTGCGCCACAGTCGCCCCAAGAGCAACAATGCCCAAAGCCAAGCAAAGGGTGCCAGGCGACGGCGCCTGATGCCTGAAAGGAGCACGCTGCTCAAATCATCCACCACCACATAGTCTGCCTTGCCAATTGCCTCTAAACTTGCAGCTGCGGGACGTGAAATATCCAAAACATCGCCCTTCCGGGCTGGTTCTGCACACATGTCAACCACCCGAAGCCGGCGGCGATCCATCACCACAGGTGGCTTTGGAGAACTTGCGGAGAAGATGCGGCCAAGTCGTGACTGTCTGCTGGTTGCGACGGAGACCATCAGGCGGCCACAGTTTGCCCAAGGAGGAGCCCAGGACAGAAGGCTGGGCTTTGTGCTCCTTGTGGCTCTTTGGCTTGCATGCCAGCAACGACCTCGCGGCCACTACACTTGCCCTGCTTCCAGCACGTGGACCTCGCTGAAGGCCTTTGTCAGACCGCTGCTTGTAGATGCAGAATCTGCGCCCATGAAACTTCAACCACATCTTTGCGAAGAGCCGGCTCCATTCCGTTGACCCGCACCCACCATCCTCGTTGCAATGCTGGGCCACCTCTTGGACGGCAGCTGGGCCACCCAGGCGGACCGTGAGGAGCTGGTCAAGCGTGCATCCATTCTCCAGCAACGGGCCCATATGCGTCTCGATGAGCTTGGCCATCTGACTCACAGATCGCTCCACGTCTGCAGTTGTGTGCTCCACTGAAATGTACCAGCACACAAGCGGGAAGATAAACTTGTTTGTCAGACGTGATGTGGTCAGGCCAGGCAGCGCTCCCCACAAAGAGCGGTTGTCAGGCTCTTCGGCGCTTGGCGTCTGCTGTATCTTCCTGCAGGTGATACATGCACACACACACAAACACATGCACATGCTCAACTCAAAAAGCAGCACCCCGAAACAAATAAAACCAGAAGCAAATATAAAGTGATGATTCACCTGGCCTCCACTGGTCAACAAGCAACATAGCGCAGGAGCTGAACTCCTCTTGCAAAGCCTGTCTGTCAGACGGCTCTTGAATGAGCGTGGCAAGGGGCCATTGCTTCGCGAGGCGGGCAGCCTTCTTCTTCAGGGAGTCCTGAAGCTGCCGTGACTCATCCGGCAATCCTTGCTCTGCAAGGCAAACAGATTTGTTCCACAAGCCAATGTCAAAGGCTGCAAAGTCCAGTCTCAAGGAGTTGTCAGAAAATTCAGCTCGTATTCTGGCCTTGGCAAGGCCATGGTGACTTGGATGGCTGGGGATATGGAAGGCAACATAACATGACAGAAAAGAAAGTCTAGCTCCAACTTGCAGCAACAACAACAGGCTGCAACAGCACATGCAGGCAACACCTTCTACTTGTTGTGGTGGAAATAAATGGCTCTGCGCAAAAAACCAAGCCAGATTTTGTCAGGCGTCCAAGCAATCCAACAAAACCACGCCTTTTTAACAGTTGAGTGAGGCGTTATGTGATGTAGTAATGTATTGCAGGCGCAACTTCAACACAATATTCAAAAGCACAACAACACTATGCTTCAAGGAATACAATGACAAGTAGCACGTGACGCTTTGCTGGCCCGCTGAATGGCGCTCCAGGCCAGTTGGACCTCTCGTGGAGCATCCGCCCCCCACAGATGTTTAATCTTGTCCTCAAACTGAATAGCAGGTGTATCCCGGCACACTCTCAACGCAGTTGCGCAAAAGGACTGGTTGGCAGTGTCTGCCATGCGTGCCATGATCTGGCCATCCTCATAGAGGTCCCTCGCTCTGCCAAGCCATGTGTCACGCAGGCGACGAGTGACAGCTATGTCTGCATCTGTTTTTTCGAAGCTTTTCAAAAAGGCCCCAGCGTCGGTGGCCCAATCGGCTAGAAGTCCCGCTGAACACATAGTTCTGAGCTGGCACTATCGCTGATTCCCAGCGCTGAGGAGCCCACGACATGTGCCGCAAAAGCGTGGTCAGGCCGGCGCCTTGCTCTCCGTCACGATCCAAAATCTTCTTCCTTGGTCGGCTCATGACAGAAAAAAGAAAACTGCACAAAGCCCAAGCTCCTACATGTGCGACTTCAAAATCCATCTCAAGCAGTGTCAGACTAAGATTTCCTGTCAGCATCTTGGTGTGTGTGTGTCAGACGTGTGTCAGACGTGTGTCAAACGGGCCCTCAACCGGTCAAAAAGAAAGAGGCAGCTTTCCTGACGCAGTCTTGCGGCTGACAGGCCTGAAGCTCATAGCGCATCTTGTGGCTGTTCTGGATGAACGGGATCAAGGCATCTCCGCCGCTGAACACCTCTGCCCATGCCGCCAGGCAAGAAAAATAACAAGTGTTCCACACTGTTGTAGGGATTGGGAAACAAACGTTAAGTGCTACCAAACTCATTGAAGAAAACAGGCTACAATGTCAGCCAGCTGCGTCAGACCAAAACTCCATGAAGTCAGCCTCATGCTGGACTGGTTGCCCAGTTGCGATTCTGATGGTGTGGCATGGGTCCGTGCCCGTCAATCTCACCGACCCAAGACTTTCCTTCAGGAACTCAAGGCCCTTGACCATACTGCGGCAACCATCCGAAAAGATCGACATGATGCGGTGCCTGGCCCTGTCATACCTGAGTCAGTAGCATGCAACACCGAGCAAACAAAGTAGCAACAAAAAGGTGGGCTATTGTCACCATGATGCAACTCCCTGTCAAACTCAGAGTCCCGTGGTGCGCAAACGTCGGAAAGCAGGGCTGCCACAGTCTGGCACAGCTTGACACCATAGTCCTCCTCAAGACCCTCGAGCTCGCCACTGCGCAGGGGCACCTCAGCCGGCAAAGCAACTTCTAAAGAATGACAACCGTTCATGACAACTGTTTCGCTGCAAAGCAAATCAAGTGAACTCAAACCAGAGCACCACACCAAGCAGGCCCCGCTTTGGCTTCACCTCCTGACCCATCAGGATGGATGCCTTGTAGCGAACAAGCCTCCAGGGCTCCTTGTCGTCCACTTGGATGGACAAAGCGGTTGCCTGGCGGAGGGTGTCTCGTGTGCGCTCCCGTGCAGCTTCCGCCATGCACGCCGTCATCTTGCGAATAGTGCGATGGTCAGGCGCTTTTGTTCGCTTTGACACTCCGGGCGCTTGAAGGTGCAGCTCGGTGTTCAAGGCCACCTCCTGACATGAACTGTCAAGAATCACAAAATGGAAAAAAACAATGAAGTGTAGCTGTCGCACATCTTCACAACTGAACCCTGCAAAGATCAAAGATTGTCGTGCAACGCGTCAGACATGGCTCTGATTGTCGGAACGAACAGGTCAGGTGGGTCCAAATCCTTGCCCAGTCTTGGACTTGAGGAACTGCCCCAAAGAACAGGTCAGGCTCGGAGGTGTCAGACGACTGCAATCGGCTCACAGGAACGTCTGGAGCTAGCCAGCTGTCAGTGGCCAGGCGGTGCAGAGCCGACTGACGGTGCAGAACAAACGCGCAGCTCTGCATTGAGGCAAGCCCTCTCCTAACAAATCATGAAGGGCCAAGCAAGTATCAAGGCACAGTCACAGCTGACAAAGTGTCCAGATGACATGACATTTTCCATGCAACCAAGAAGCACCTCAAATCTGCCCCATTTTGTGGAGCACCTTCGTCTCTTAGAAGTCGTCACACCACCACGGGTGAGAAGGCTGGCGCAAATAGTGCACCCAATTCCCCATGGCCTTGATGGGCAGCGCTGCTCAGCCAGCCAAACAGTGGCAACTGGCTGGCCCTGCCGGGTGTGCTTGTGGGTGCCATACCTGAAAAAGCAGCACAAACAGCATAGCAACATCAGACCTTCTGTCAATGACTGCTACAATTCTGCCATAATTATGTGTGCGTGCAAGGCGCTTCTTCACCCATGTGTCTTTGAAGCGGTCCCATCTCTTCTTTGCGTTCACCCAGTCCTCGCTGTCATCTGTCAGGCGCTTTGAAGTCTTGACAGAGGAGGAGGACGAGTGAATCTGACACACTTTGCTCTGGCCAGAGCTGTTCAGCCATCTCCGCTTTGTTGGGGGAGCTGGTAGTGTGCGTCCAGGCTGCCGTTTGCGCTTGCAACTGCTGGCGTGGCTACGTGTGTGAGCCTGACTCAGTTTGGACCCCTGACTGTGCACCAGCAAATCCTTGAACGGCATGCGGCCCCACCATCAAGGCATGCACTAAACTACATCTTGGACACAAGAAGCTGCATGACAATTCTAGGCAGGTGGCGCCATGCTTTGACAACTGCTTGCAAACAAAAAGCTGCCTGCCAAAAAAACACGAAGCAATGACCTACTTTTGACCGCACCTCATCATCAGCTGGGCTCAACTGGCACAACTGTCTGCAAGACTACCAGCACCAACTGCTATCACATGGTCTACTCTCTCAGTGAGCGGGCAAGATTCGGCTAGGCTGCCTCATTTTTGCCGTCCTCATCCTCCACAGGATCGGCTGTCTTCTTGTCCCCTCCTCCTCCTCCGAGTCAGATTGCTCCGTCAGGCGCCCAGCAAAGTGAGTCTGAACCTCATTGGCAAGCTCGTTCTCCTCAGCAGCCACCACCTTAAGCATGGCGTTGTCACAGCACGCAGACAACCACTTTGAGTGAACAGTTGCTGTGCTGATGCCATGATATCTCACCTGGGCATCCAGAGCCGCGTGCGCTAGCTGTGTGCTTGCTGTCATGTCCAAGATTGCACCTGCACGGGTGCCCTCCACAACCGATGCCCAAAAGCTTGTGGACTTGCTCTCCTGCCAAAAGCAGGGCACGCCATGCTCATTGTCCCAGTCAGGCGGTGTGGCAGCCTTGCTGGCTTTGCTGCCTCTTTGTTTGTCAGCCAATTGGTCTTGTCCGTCAGGCTCATGAGCGGGAGCTTCTTCTTGTTGGGCAAAGAGGCCATATTCTCCCACTCAAGGTCCTCGACTGCGTCGTTGCAGTTGTACTTCAGGAAGCCATGCTCACTTGTGCAACGCATCTTCTTCGACGCAGGTCCAAGCTCTGCTGTGACATCCGAGGCGCCTTGGCACAACAAACGCTTGCCGTCCCAACTTCGGTCAAAAGAAAAGGAATTCAGAATCATGCCCTGACTGTTTACACCAAGTGGCCCGAAGGTGCCTCCAAGACTGTCACCAGCTCAAGGGTGTCCCTCCCCAGGCTATCCTCGATGTGTCTCCGAGCCTCACGGCACCGACCGTCAAAGACAAGCAGCAGGTCACCCTTGCCATTGAACTCCTTCTTGCAGAAGTCTAAGCAAACCCCAATGCGCTCCATCCGGTCTGTCAAGAGACGGCAAGGTGACGTCCCGTGGGACGCTGTGCACCGAACCCTCAAGCTTTAATACCAACCACGTAGAAAGGTGTATACGGACGATGCCGTTATAGCCGAACCCGTGTAAACGTTGTAAGGAAGAAGGAATGATAGTTACACCAGTAGTCCTGACAATGCAGCGCAAGCAGTTGTTTTGCTCTTGATGCCGATCACGGAGGTCTGCAGTCACACATCAGATCTTGAACCTCAAATGTGTCTTGAGCCAAATGGCGATCAATGGAACTTGGGAAGCAACACCAACAAGGACCTCAGAACAGCTACCCAATTTCGGCACGGGGCCTAGAGGGTTTTAACATCCCCCATTTGGGTCGCATTGTTCATCATGCGGTCCAAACACCACAAAACGTTCCACTGGCCACGGCTTCAACTACGAAATCGTGTCGTGCATTCTTTTACTTGCTATCACTACACCGTTCATTCGCTGTGAAACATGCCGGGTTCGATTGTACGAAAAGTGAAACATTCATCCTCCAATCGAAGCACACATCCATATGCAGGTGTATATATAATACACTGTGGCCACTTCACTTGACCGCCAGTGAACATTCCAGCTGCCGCATTTGCGCATCGCGCAGCTGTCATCCATAAATGGGTTGGCCACAAATGTCCACCATGCGCGCCCGCTTGTGATCGGTCTGCATATCCCCGGCAAAGAAACATCGGTGAGTAATCAATGCAAATCATAGCCATTCCAGATACCATGGACAATGCATAAATAATGAAAAGATATCATCTATAAGGTAATAGTTCCATCCATGAATATCCAGAGCGTCATAGTCATCGGAATATGTAACCATGTACACATCCATTCATCTTGGACACATGAATATAAATCATGACATAAGTCGTTCCACCGAAACAGTGTCGATGTGACGCAAGTAACAGATGGGGACTGGCCCACATCGTACCGCAATCATCATCTTTACGAAGCATACCTGTCCCCAATGGACAGCCTATGGGTACGTCGGCGGAACTCCTCGTCCAAGTTCTTCTGGGCTTCTCGTGCCCGGACACACTTCTTGTTGTAGTCCTCTGGCAACCAGTGCCCTTTCCGAAGGCACCAATCCAGCAGGGGTGTGTCGCATTTGTTCGGGTCGATGGCCGAGATGATGGCGCTCACGTTGACCGTGTAACCATTCTTGCCAAGGTTTAGGCCATCCCTCACGAATGATATATACTTACAGTTGAAAGCTAGTGCAAAACATCTGAAAATAATATCACCCACCGGGTGCACTCGGTCCTTGACCAGGAGCTTCATTTCTTCCTTGGTGACATCGAGGATTCTCGCTGCAATCCACAGCTTGTAGAATGTGTATAGTCCCTCGCATTTGTTCACCATCATACGAATATATTCGTCACGCTCCTCAACCGATCGGAAGGCTCTTGTCCGAACATTCTCCGATTGAGAAATCTTCGTTATTGTTGATGGCAAAAGTATACCTTCCTGATCATGCTCGGTGATGTTGGGGTACCTCTTGAAGTCATTGTGATAAGGGCAGCCCGGCCTCCCTTCGAGTCCGGCATTCATCGTTCTCTCCTCACCACCTTCAAACATCCCCCACATCTTGGACAGCTGGAGTGCGATAAATCCTGCCATGTACTGAGCCTCACGCGGCTCGTCAAGGCAGATCGCCATCCGTTGGGAACTTATAATGTCCCGTGACGTCAGATCGGTGTCGCGGTAATGCCAACCGCCGTCTTCTTCTTCTGACGCATAGCCGGATGTATATCCTTGCGTGTCCATGTCGTCATCTTCTCCCGGAACTTCCTCCGCTTCGTCCTCATCCTCCTGTGCTGCCGCATCGTGGTTAGCTTCTTCCTGTGCACGCCTGGCATCTCCAGAGACGTTGGGGTTTTGGTTGTCCTCCTCGTCATCGGATTTGATGTGAATGTAGTATCTTCCGATGGAGATCAGTTGTGCCTCGCACTCCAGGCATAAGCAGAAGCAGGTGGGGATCGCGGTCGCACATGATGGACATATCCGGCACCTCAGTCCTTCCCATGTCTCATCATTCAGGATGACGACTTTGCTGACTTCGTCCCGGACCTCGTTGACCTGTGCGTTGAACTCTTCCATCTTGTTGTTTCGATAGAGTTCGCAAGCACGATTAACCATGTCAACGATGTAGTGCAGATTATCGGCACCTGTCTCAGTCTCCGGCATCCTCTCGCTGATCTTTGCGACGTTCTGGAGGAACATCGCAGCCGACTCTTGGGAAGGGTTGACAAAGCCAGGGCAGATCTCGTTCTCCACACACTTCGAGTACGCCCTCTTGATGTCAGCGTACTCCAGGCGCTTCCCTCCATTGCTTTTGCCAATCCAAATGGATTTGACCTCATAGAACGGGATCACGTCAAAGACCATGAAAGTCCCATTAGCCGCGACTCCAGCCCCATACCGCGCGAGGGTTGCACTGGGAATATAGATGATCGCAATCGGATCCCCTCTCCTCACGTTCCGTAGCGTTGTCTTCGTCGCCACGTTCATCTCATCCCATGGAGCAAACGCCCCGAAGTGCCGTGCTAGCCTGTTACCGCCATCGATTCCGCCGGGGACTAGCCCACAGCGTACGATGCTTGGCAGGTTTTCCACATACGTCACATGGAATGCTCCTCCGAGAGTATCACCCATTCTTGCGGAATACCTATTCGCCAGTGCGGATGAGCTCATGAATCCAAAATCACTGTGACCGGTTGTGACTCGGATGCACCAAGGTCTGCACCATCCATCGCATCTGTTGAACATCCTATCGATGTCGTCCCGATCCACGCCAGCCTTGGTCATCTCCTCCCTGGCTGCCCTCGTGTCGTTCGGGTTCATGATGCTCGGAAACCTTGCTGCCAGAACCTGGAATCTCGATTTCTTGCTTCCGGATTCCTGCCACTTGATCACCTCCATGATGCCCATGTATCGTTTCGCTCTCGAGGTGTTAGGTGGGAATATGTCGTTGTTTCGGTCGTCAATGACAGCATCAATGTCGACCCATCCACCCTCGTCGCACCTGAAAGCACTTCCTCGGCAATTGCCGATCTTGTGTCGAAGGACTCTGCATAGGTCGTGAGATAGCTGGTTTGCTTGGTCCCTTGTAGTAAATACCGAGCGATCATCACCAATCCTGCATAGTGGAGCACCGTCGAAAGGAGCAATGCAGAAGTTGACACTCTTGCCAAGTGGCATCACGTCCACTTGCTCAAGGATTGCACCTTTGGGAAAGTATTTGGGGTCAACGATGGACGCATACGCCCATGGCAAGTGCACATCACTCACATCGCCATACTTCGGGATGTAGCACGGGATGGTGTCGCATCCCATCTCAAGCGTCTTCTTGAATGTCCTGCTGTCCCCGCACGGATTGTATGTGAGGTCGACGCCACCACATTGTAGCTCCCCTCCCTCAGCCGTGTCAGCCATCTCCACCAAATTAATAGTGTAGCTGTACATCTCAATTGTTTCTTTCCCTGCTTGTCCTCCTTTCTTTCTTTCCTTGGACGTTGATGAGGACGGCTCCTCCGTATCCCCCATGTCTTCATCAGACGAAATAGGGTCACTGCTGAGTAGCTCACGGAGCACCTTCATCGCCTTCTCATTTCCAGCTGCCTCCTCAATGTCCTTGCAGTCACCGTCGTGGGCCAGGTTCGCGCACTTCTTACAGATCCCCATATCTCCCATGCACTTCTCCATTGACTCCAGGAATCCCAGTGCCGCTCTCCGCCCGTCGATCACTCGCTGCTTCTTGTCTTCCTTCTCAGTATTGGTTTGAGAACTTCGACTCGGGTATGGTGCTTGACCAAGACCCTCATCTTCGCCCTCCGTGGCCTTTCTCTTGGAACCTTGTGCAGAGGGCTCGGTGATCAGGGATCGTGGATGTCTGGGCTTGACCTTGTTCATGATGTCAAGCACCTCCTTCGTGGGCACGCCGAGCTGTGCGGACGGTTTGTTCCGCTTTCTGTTCTGGCCCGTCGTGTGGGTCACGTTCCCAGCGAAGTGTCGCACTATTGACTGCTCGAACTCCCTCTTGATCTTCCATGCATCCTTCCACAGTGGCAGTTCGTGCTGGAAGTACGACATCACCTCAAAGAATCCCAACACCATCTCGACGACGTCTCCCAAGGAATCCTCGTTCGTGGTTTGTCCCAGGAGTTCATACATCGTTCCTTGGTCGAGCACACTCTTGATCCAGGACGAATATGCCACATTGCCAAGATCCTTGCCTATCAAGAAGATGGACATCCTCTCCTCGACTCCCTCGGAATTCTTGCACACGATCACATCCCCGGGATGCGCACAATTGCTTCCCGTGACCGTTGTTGTAGAACTGCGCTGCTTGATCCACAGTCATGCTCACGAATCCCACGTGAGAAAGCTCCTTCTTCAGCCTTGAATACACGAGCTCCCGTATGATCGTGATCATGGCCTGGATAT